CTTTTTTTTACTATACGGTGCACGGACGAAGGGAAAAAAGTTGAATTTGTTTATTTATTTATTTATTTTTTAAATTAAAAGATGTGATGACTGCTGTATTTCAGCAGAACCGATCCCTGTAAATGTAATTTATGGGGGTGTTTTTTGAGTTTTAAACGTTTCACTCGATTTACTGAAACGAAGGTTTTTTCAACATTAACGCTTTTATTGCTCCTCCATTGCCAGTCGACATTTCTGATTAACCGCAGGCTACATCTATTTCTAGAGCTTTTTTAAAGACTAATTTGCATTCTTTACTGCTCTTTCATCTGCTTTGGACGTCTTGTGCTTCAAATGGTAAACTAAGGCATTAGCACTGGCAAATTAAATTGTAATAAAAAAATCTTCGGTTGCAGCTTTACAACGGCAGGGGACACGTCACTGTGACCCGTGACTAAAATTTTACGGCAGGAAGGTTGTGTTTGAGGAATTTGAATTGGAAAACACGTAATGGGAAGTTAAAACTTTCCAAAGTTTTTGCTTTGCAGCTGGAGCTGAACCAAAGTCATGATGGGCAGGAGGAGAATAATGGAGGAGTAAGGATTGCTGGTAGTGTTAATTCTGAAACCAAATAATATGAGCAGCTAAATGAAAAATTTTAGTAGCGTCTAAGGCAATAATGATGAGGCAGTCATCTGTTTAAAGAAATAGTCAATTTTACAATAAACCAAATTTTGGTTTTTTCTACTTTTTTTATCCGTACAAATACAATTTACCAGTCAACTAGACACTTACTAAACAAATAAATTTAGTAATAGTTTGGGCTTTTTTTAGGGATTTGAAATATGTTGTAAGTTGAAAAATCATATTTTTCTTAACGATGTAGTCAAGCTTGTTTTTCTGTTGGGAGGTAGTTTGCGTACACAACTTCAGAAACATTTTTTTCTTTTGCTCTAAAACTTTGCTGTCTAACCCTTTTTGGACTCTTACAATTTAAAATTACGTTCACTTCAATTATTAATACAGATGCACAAACAGTGTTGGTATGACGATAAACTTTGGTTATTTCTTCTTTCAATATTGACTTCGTTTAAAGTATAAGACCTATTCTTAGGAAATGCAAGTTTTTCGGTTCTCTTTTAAATAGTTGGTTCAATACTTGGGTTGTCATGATTTGTTTAACTGAATTCTGTGCACTGAATATTTTGGGCATTTGCTCTCTACTTGTGATAGGTACCTCTGCAAATCTAAAGCCTAAAGAAACTTTTCTATCTCATACTCGTATTACTAAAGTTTTGTTTGCTGATGAATACCTGAATTCAGGACTGAAAAATTCTTATTTTGTTGATGAAGGTCTGTGACTTACACTTTTAGCTTGCTTAATTGTATTTTAGCCAGTCCAATTATACTGTTCAATTTTGCCACTGTCTAGTTTCACTTAACGTTTTATGTGCTGGTTCTTGTGACA